AAAGGCGCCCAACGCTCCCAAGTGCTCCCACGCGCTCCCAAGCGCTCCCAAGCGCTGTCAGGCGCTCCCAAGCGCTCCCAAGCGCTCCCAAGCGCTGCCAAGCGCTTTCAAAGCGCTCCCAGGCGCTCCCCGGCGCTCCCAAGCGCTCCCAGGCGCTCCCAGGCGCTCCCAGGCGCTCCCAAGCGCTCCCAAGCGCCCCAAGGCGCTCCCAGGCGCTGCTACCCATGCGGCCGGGGGTGGGAAGATGTTGCAACTCCTGCTCCCTTCGCCAAGCTTGCTCGGGTCGGCTAACCGCCCCCCCAATCACGCTTGCCGAAGGGGGGGCAGCATTGCCTGGACTGTCGGCCGCTGCGCGCCCGAGAAGCCCTAAACCCTAAACCCTAAACTCTAATCCCTAATCCCTAATCTCTAAACCCTAAACCCTAAACTGAAGCGCGACCCCGTTGGGTCGCGCTCTCGACCTCGAACGCTATCGGTGGCGAGGAGCGAGCGATAGTCGAGCTCCCAGAACGTTCTCAGGCCGACGCCAGTGCTGCGCTCCGCCAAATGGAAGAACCTCTAACCTGGGACTCCATTGCCCGGGCCGTTCGCTCTTGGCCCCTGGAAGGATAAACTTCACCTGGGAGCGCCTGGGAGCGCTTGGGAGCGCCTGGGAGCGCTTGGGAGCGCCTGGGAGCGCTCGGGAGCGCCTGGGAGCACCTGGGAGCGCCTGGGAGCGCCTGGGAGCGCTGGGGGGCGCCTGGGAGCGCCTGGGAGCGCTTGGGACCGCCTGAAGCGCCTGGAGCGCTTGGGAGCGTTTGGGACCGCTTGGGGGCGCCGGGGAGCGCTTCTGGAGCGCCTGGGAGCGCCGGGGAACGCCTAGGTGCGCCTGGGAACGCTTGGGAGCGCTGTGCAGCACCTGGGAGCGCCTGGGAGCGCCTGGGCGATCTGGCAGACTGAAGTCACGGGGGCGACCCGGCAGACCGAAATCACGCGAGCGGCACGTCCCGCGCTGGCGCAGTGAAGCGGGACGGAGGCAGCGCCGGGAGCGCTTGGAGGCGCCTGGGAGCGCCTGGCAGCGCTTGGGGGCGCCTGGGAGCGCCTGGGAGCGCCGGGGAACGCTGTGCAGCGCTTGGCAGCGCTTGGGAGCGCTTGGGAGCGCCTGGGAGCGCCTGGGAGCGCCTGGGAGCGCTCGGGAGCGCCTGGGCGATCTGGCAGACCGAAATCACGGGGGCGACCCGGCATGCCGAAATCACGCGGGCGGCACGTCCCGCGCTGGCGCAGTGAGGCGGGAGGCAGCGCCGGGAGCGCTTGGGGGCGCCTGGGAGCGCCTGGGCAGCGCCTGGGAGCGCTTGGGAGCGCTTGGGAGCGCCTGGGAGCGCCGGGAAACGCTGTGCCGCGCCTGGGAGCGCCTGGGAGCGCTTGGGAGCGCTTGGGAGCGCCTGGGAGCGCCTGGGAAGGCCTGGGAGCGCCTGGGCGATCTGGCAAACAGAAATCACGGGGGCGACCCGGCAGACCGCAATCACGCGGGTGGCACGTCCCGCGCTGGCGCAGTGAGGTGGGACGGAGGCAGCGCTGGGAGCGCCTGGGGGCGCCTGGGAGCGCCTGGGCAGCGCCTGGGAGCGCCTGGGAGCGCCTGGGAGCGCCGGGGAGCGCTGTGCAGCGCCTGGGAGCGCCTGGGAGCGCTTGGAGCGCCTGGGAGCGCCTGGGAGCGTCTGGGAGCGCTTGGGAGCGCCTGGGCGATCTGGCAGACCGAAATCACAGGGGCGACCCGGCAGACCGAAATCACGCAGGCGGAACGTCCCGCGCTGGCGCAGTGAGGCGGGACGGAGGCAGCGCCGGGAGCGCCTGGGGGCGCCTGGGAGCGCCTGGGCAGCGCCTGGGAGCGCCTGGGAGCGCCTGGGAGCGCCGGGGAGCACTGTGCAGCGCCTGGGAGCGCCTGGGAGCGCCTGGGAGCGCCTGGGAGCGCCTGGGAGCGTCTGGGAGCGCTTGGGAGCGCCTGGGCGATCTGGCAGACCGAAATCACAGGGGCGACCTGGCAGACCGAAATCACGCAGGCGGAACGTCCCGCGCTGGCGCAGTGAGGCGGGACGGAGGCAGCGCCGGGAGCGCATGGGGGCGCCTGGGAGCGCCTGGGCAGCGCCTGGGAGCGCCTGGGAGCGCCTGGGAACGCTTGGGAGCTCTTGGGAGCACCTGGGAGCGCCTGGGAGCGCTTGGGAGCTCCTGGGAGCGCCTGGGAGGGCCTGGGAGCGCCTGGGATCGCCGGCACATTCGACGAAGACATTTCGACGAAACGAGCCCCGAACACACCGTAGACATTTCGACGTTTCGACCGTCGAAACGTCTACGCAGGAGACATGCGAGGCGCAGACATTTCGGCCCGCTTCACTCTCGAAGACGTCGCAGATATTTCGACGGCGACGCATGTATTGATGTGGTAGACATTTCGACGCCCCAGCACCCCCTACTGTCGCAGACATTTCGACGGGCTGACGTCTCTTTCATGTCGTAGACATTTCGACGAATACCTTTCTTTATGTGACAGACATTTCGACGCGCGAGCGCTTGGGAGCGCCGGGCAGCGCCTCGGAGCGCCGAGGAGCGCCTGGGAGCGCTTGGGTTGAAGACCTGGGAGCGTCTGGGAGCGCCAGGAGCGCCGGGGAGCGCCCCGGGGCGCCTGGGAGCGCCTGGGAGCGCCTGGGAGCGCTGGGGGGCGCTTGGGAAGCGCTTGGGAGCGTCTGGGGGCGCCAGGGAGCGCCTGGGAGCGCCTGGGAGCGCCTGGGAGAACCTGGGAGCGCCTGGGACCGCTTGGGAGCGCTTGGGAGCGCCTGAGAGCGCCTGGGAACGCCTGGGAGCGCTTGGGAGCGCTTGGGAGCGCTTGGGAGCGCCTGGGAGCGCCTGGGAGCGCCTGGGAGCGCCTGGGAAGGCTTGGGAGCCCAGCCCAGCTCAGCCCAGCTCAGTGAAGCCAGACCAGGCCAGGCCCGCTCTGGAAGGGCTACTGCGAAGGACACCAGATAAGTCCGTATAGCACAATGAGATGCGAGGGGGCGCCAAACCCGCCCCCTCGCGCTCCCCCACCCGCCAAATCTCCGAGTGTGTCATGCGTGAGCTCCAGCCAAGATTTTCCCAAGCCACAGGCAAACTCAGATTGGCCCCAGATTATGATGCTCGATCTGATGCCCCCTGCCGCCGCTGCTCCTGCGCCCTGCTTTCCGGCCGTTGCCATCTGGCTCGAAGCGAAACTCTGCCGGCGCCTCGCGCTGCCTTGCTACCAGACCAGCACGCCCCGCACCGAGCAGCCGCTACTGATCTTGGCGATCATGCCGCCCAAGTTCCGACAGGTTGACGTGCTCGCCGCGCTCCGCCGCGGGGAGGCTGAGGAAGCCGTTCGTGCCGACCTCCAGGCCCGCGGATGCCCGCCGCCCCGCATCTCCCAGATGTTCAAGGGCGCGCGCGACATCATGAAGGCGGATGTCGATGCTGAATATGTGGAGGCGGGTCACGTGGCGCCGGCCGTGCGGAAGCGGCCAGCCAGCGCCGCGCCGATGGCAGCAGCGGCGGCGCGGCGCCGCCTGAGCGGGAAGCAGCCCGGCGCGTCTGTCGCGCCGCCCCCGCCGCCGCCCCCGCGCCCGCAGAAACGCCCGGCGCCTCCGCCTGGCGCCAGGGCGCCCAAGCACCCGAGGATCGAGAACGACGCGGAGGTCGACGACGCCGTGGCGGCGAGCCCAGTGGTGAAGAAGCCGGCAGGACGTCGCGGCTCGTCTCAGTTCTGCATCGGCTGGATGCAGCCGCAGGAGGGCTCCGACGAGGTCATCCAGCAGGACACCTCCACTCCTGGCGCCAAGGTCTTTCGGGGACGCGGCGGGAAGAAACGGTGCTTCTGCTGCGATGTCGATGCCCTGCCCGAGAAGGCGAAGACAGTCAAGGGCAGGGAGAACGCCATGCGCTACCTGAGGGCGCTCCACCAGTTCGAGGACAAGACCCCGCACGACCTCTTCAAGGCGAGGGTGGAGAAGGCCGGCTTCGAGATCCCCGAGGAGCGCGTCAGGCAGCCGAAGCGCGGCCGCAGGCCCGCAGAGAAGAAGCGCGCGGACTGGTCCGAAGCCAAGGCGAAGCGGCAGACCACCCAGGAGTCCCCCGACCGCAAGCAGAAGCGCAAGTTCCGCCAGGAGGTGCTCGAGGACCAGCGGTACGCGAAGAACTTTGTTTTTCCTGGGTCGGAGAGGCGCGAGCGCGCCTCTGGGGCCGATCTGGACGCGCACCTGGACAACGGGACTGGCCTCCCGCCTGCGGAGTACTCCGACTACTCCAAGGCCTTGGAGGCCTGGTGCCTCCGCGGCTCCTGGGGCATGTGCCCGAAGTGCCAGGCGATGCAGCCGCGCGAGTTCTACGAGGCGGACCTCAGGCGCGAGCGCAAGCCCGAGCTGGCCAAGTCGCAGTGCAAACTCTGCAGCGCGAAGCGCAAGCACTACGTCCCGAAGCCCGAGGACGTCCCGAAGCCGCTGCAGGACCTCACGCCCGAGATCATCAGTGCGCTGAGCCTGCTGGACGTGGGCGTCGGCGCGGTGGTCCGCTCCCACGACGCCAAAGGGAAACCCAACGGCTACCGCAAGAAAGTGAAGATGATCCGCTTCTCCTGGTCGGAGCACGCCCCAAAGAAGAAGTTCAGGAACGTCCCGCACGCGGACCGCGAGAAGGCGAAGGCCGCCTACGATTACCTGATGGACAGCAAGGAAAGCTGCTACAGGGACTTCAAGATGCAGCGCGAGAAGTTCTTCGACGGCAAGAGCCGCAAGCCCGACGAGCGCCAGCGGAAGCGCCCGATCAACTTCATCGAGCAGGCCAGGGCAGACTAGGGAACCCCGCTCGGGCAACAGGGAGCAACCTTGCCCCGAACACACTGTCCAGTGTGCTCGAGGCTCGATAGGCTTGCCTCCTGTACACCGACAAGGGCCCCCAGAGTCCGCCCGTAGGTCGGTCTCGAGTGCGCCATCTGACCCCACCTGTACTGGACGAAAAAGATGTGCGAGTCGTACGAGCGCTACACGGACGAGCGCCGCGAGGAGCGGCGCGCCCGCAAGAAGGGCGGCCGCGGCGCAGCGGCAGAGGGCGACGATGGCTCGGACAGCGGCAGCAACGACGACGACGCGCAGTCCGCGAGCGCAGGCCGCGACCCGCACGACAGGCAGGACAGCGATCACGACAGTGAGCACGGCGACGGCGAGTCCTCCGACCCTGGCAGCGAGGCAGCTGACGGCGACAGCGACCAAGAGGCAGAGGATGATACAGGCGAGGCAGAAGGCTCTGGGCGTCACAGCATCAAGAAGAGCTTCATGGCAAAGGTCCTGTCGCCGCTCATCGGCTACGGGACCTCGTTCGAGCTGCTCCAATACGTCTATGATCTGAACCTGTGGAGCACGCTGGGCAGTCGCAAGAACCTCGGCCTCGGGGACAAGGTTCCCATGCGCGTGCTCATGAAGGGCAATTCCTTCAGCCCGCTATACTGGAAGGAGGTCCACAACGGGCTCATCGACCTGGTGCGCCAAGTGGGCATGCCCAAGATGTTCTGGACGATGTCCCCCTACGAGTACCTCGCGCCCTACCACGAAGTGGGCCCAGGACGAGATGTCCAAGAGTCTGAGCAAGCGGATGCACCTCCCCGCGGCGGAGAGCCTCCACGTGACGCACGCACCATTGCAGATCACGCATGGGCTCCTCACGGGCGTCAACCGCACAGGGCGAGCGAAGAAGCTGGGCGGAGGCGCGTGGAAGAAGCACATCCTCAGCAGCAAGGCGGAGAGTGGCAAGCCCATCAAGCTCATCGTCTTCACGCGCATCGAATTCCAAGATGGGAGCCGCAAAGAGGGCACGTTCCGCTACCAAGGGAGCGGGCGACCGCACGCGCACATCCTGCTATTCGCTGACGAGCTCGAACCCGCGAAGGTGGAGCAGCTCGTCAAGGCGAGCCTGCCCTTGGCGGAGGACCTGGCGCTGACGGGCAAGGTCAAGTGCTCGCAGAAGGACCGCGACGAGGACTGGAAGTGGCCCATCTACGACGGCCCCGAGGGCTGGAACGACGACGACGGCACGCTCAAGCTGACACACTCCGCGGAGGACAGGGACGAGGGCGTCCACCGCGCCTTCTTCGTGGACGTCATGGACGGCTTCCCTTGCCACCAAGACCTCCAGGTCTCAGACGGAGAGTCCATGCTGCTTCAGTACGTGGCGAAGTACGCAGCCAAGTTCTCGGACTCCTCCTTCGACGAGTGGTTCAACGACGAGGGATCTGCGACCTCGGTGGCGCGCCGCATGGTCAACGAGTACCACCCCTACGAGCCCGAGATGTGGCTCCAGCTCAACGGCCAGAACTTCAAGCAGTGGCACGTCTCCACCGTCAGCAGGGGCAAGCGCGACATCCAGGCGCCTTGGCCGGGCATGGAGACGCCGCCCGCATACGTTGAACAGTACTGCGCGGCCAGCCGCACCTGGCGCCGCGCCGACATGCCCCTGCTGGAGTTCCTGCGGAAGACTGGAGACGACGGCCAGATCGTCCACTGGATTCAGAAGCCGTGGCGCGAGGAGGTGCTCGTCGTTGCCTTCGCCAAATACGTCAAGGAGGGCGGCAAGCTGCCATTCCAGAAGTTCCGCGTCGGCGCCACGAAGAAGGAGTTCAAAGCCTTTGCAGGGAGAGAAGAGCAAGGCGCCGACGACTTCCGCGCGTTCGCCAAGTGGCACGTCGAGGAGAAGCTGAACGCGGAGATGAGCGGGCAGGTGCAGATCGACCCGCTCGAGGTGGCCTCGCTCGCAGACTTTGCCAACGACTACCCGATGAACGGCGAGAAGATCGTCGGTGTCGACCACGTCTATCGCCTGAACGATAAGTTCTTCGGCCAGTGGCTGGCGCTGCACGTGCCTTTCTCGAACAGCATGGACGAGCTCCTGGACGCGGACGTCGATCGCCTGGTGCCCAAGAAGTACCGCTGGTTCGCCACGGCGCTGCGGCGCTGCGACGACCACGACCGCGTGCCCGTCGAGGTCCGCGACTTCTGGAGGCTGCCCCACAGGATCAGGAGCGAGATGAAGCAGGAGGCCAGCACCGACGACCACATCGAGGACGTCCAGGAGATGGTCCACGGACAGATGGAACTGGTGGACGAGTACCTGTCGGGCGCACGCAACCGCGCCGAGGAGGAGACAGCCGCGGCGGCTGCGGCGGCGGCGAGCGGCCGCCGCGGGGGCGCTGGCCCCGCCGCCCCGCAGCAGTTCAACGCCCAACAGAAGAAGGTGGAGAAGGCCGTCAACAAGGCCGTCGACCGCGCCGTCATCTATAACCACAGCGACAGCGCCTCCGCGGTCGAGAGAGCGGGCGACGATGCATGGCAGAACAACACGCCGACCATCGTCCTTGGCAAGCCAGGCACGGGCAAGACCACCGTCGTCAAGGAGTGCATCCGCCGCGCCTGCGAGAAGGGCGCCCAGGTCCTCTTCGCCCTGCCCACGGCGCAGCTCGCGAGTCGCATGAAAGTCTCCCTCCGCGGCATCCAGAACGTCTGCGTGGACACTTGCCACGCGGCCTTCAAGTTCGGCCAGCCCGAGTCCGAGACGCTGCACCTGATGAGCTCCTACGACATGGTCGTGGTCGACGAGATCTCGCTCCTCGATATGCCCCACTTCGAGGAGCTGATGAAGATGTGGGCCGCGGCGCAGAAGCTCTCTGCCTTTGTCATCCTGGGCGACAAGTACCAGCTGCCCGCCATTGACGCGGTCAAGAACGGTCGCCCCTGGGAGAGCGCCGCCTGGAAGAAGTGCAGAGTGATCACCCTGCACCGGGCCCGGCGCTGCAAGGACCCCGAGTTCCTCAAGGTCCTCGACAAGCTCCGCGTGGACAAGCCCAGCAAGAAAATGCTCAGGAGCATGTGCCGCGGCCGCAAAACCTGGAACTGGGAGCACCCCGACGCGGACGACATCAAGCGCCACCTCGAAGAGCACCCAGAGACCGTCATCGTCACGTGCACGCGCCACAAGGCGGAGGCGATCAACAACCTCGCCGTGGAGGGCCTCTTCGCGGGGCGCAGGCCCATCGCGGTGATCGACGGGGACATCGACATCAACCCCGAGAATTACACCAAGGACGGCTTCCGCGACGACCGCAGGCCCATTCCAGCCAAGGTGCCGATCTACAGAGGTGCTCGTCTCTACCTCACACAGAACGTGCGCAAGGAGGACGACTACGTCAACGGCATGGCCTGCACGGTCGAGAGGTTCACGCCGAACGGCGACGGCGGCGCGCTCCTCGTCCGCACCAAGACGAACCAGCTCCTGCCCATCACCAAGTGGACCAACAAGAAGGTCGATGGCCGCAGCGTGCGCCACTTCCCCATCAGGCTCGGCTACGCGAGCACCATCCACAAGGCAAGGACACGGGGGATGGCAGAGGCAGCGCCCTCCCCCTGGCAGGCGCGCTCGCTTGTCGGACACCCCGAGCGCGACGCGAGCGAGAGACGAGTCCTCTCGCGCTGCGTTCGGGGCGCCCCAAACTGGCGAGCGCCGGCAGAAGGGAACGCGCTGCGTCTGCCAACCCGATCAGGTGCAAGGGGATGAGTTCAAGCACATCACCGTCGTGCTCGACAAGCAGTTCTGCCCCGCGGCGGGCTACGCGGCGTTGTCGCGCGTGGAGCGCGCTGCCGACTACAAGCTCGCGGGCGCGTTGACGCCCGAGCACTTCGTGCCCGCCACCTGGATGGATCCCTCCTGAGCGGGCCCGCAACGCGCGCGCGTGGGGGCCACCGCAGACGCCGCCGACGACACAGGTCGGCGGCGACACGGGACGCGTTGCGCGCCCAGACACTGTTCTCCACGGCCTCAGCCACCCGCTCAGAACTGCGGCTGCTGCGTGTCGGATATTTCAGCACGAGAGCCGCCTGCAAGACCTCCCCCCCCCTTCCTCCGAAGGGGGGGCGAAGGGGGGGTAGCTGGACCGATAGTTGCTGCCCAAGGAACATGGCCGCCAGCATGGAACTTCCCCCCATGAGAAGGGGGGAGCGAGGGGGGTAGAAGAACCCTAGACCCTAAAGGGGTACTTTTGGGCGGGGGGGGAACGGGAACGAACGGCAGCCGACCCCCCCAACCTCTCGAAGGAGGGGGGGTCGAGCTGCTTCCGCCCAGCGAGGCCCTAAACCCTAAACCCTAAACCCTAAGCCCTAAACCCTAAACCCTAAACCCTAAACCCTCAAGACGAAAAAACACCACGTATTGAGCAAGCTCGAATGGTGCCATTGCGAAAGACAGTGGAAAGGAACGAACCTCGAAACTTTTGATGGTGAGGGTGGCGGAGATGGCGGGGGCGCGGGCACGGCGGCGATGGTGAGATTAGTGAGGATGGGGGGGATGATGGGAGTAGCGGGAGTGCGAGGATGATAGGAGTCGTGAAGATGATGAGGGCGGCGGGGGTGGTGAGCCTGACGGGAATGGCGTGGATGTTCGACCGTGTCGACGGTGGAAATGATGAGAATGTTGATGACGGCGAGGACTTCAGGGGTCGTGGCGATAGAAAGGCTTGCGAGAGAGGCGGAGGCGGCGATCGCGCCAATGAGACCGATGACGCGAAGACGATGTTTCCAAGTCGGAGTGAAGAGCGCGCCGCGGGGCTCTCCGCGGCGCTGCCGCGGGCCTCATTGCGCCGCGTCGAGCCGCTCGTAGACAGCGAGGTAGATCTTCGTCAGCGCCGCGGCGCCCTGCCCGCCGCCGAAGAAGGCGATCTCAGCTTCGGTGGCGACGCGGGAGGCGTCGTCGTCGTAGAGCAACCAGGTGCCGTCGTACTTCGCGAAGGCGTTGTAGTGGCCCTTGCGGGCGGTGGCGCCCCTGTGCACGACCACAGCCTTCAACGAGAAGATCCCGACGCTGTCCGGGCCGCGCACCTCGAGAACGGCGTCGGCTGCCACCGGGTGCGGCACCACGCGGCCGAAGCTGTCCCAGCGCACCAGGTGAAGCAGGAGGATCTCCGGGAAGCACGTGATGCGGTGCGTCTTCAGCACGCTGGCACGGTGCGCGACGAAACCCGCGCACGGGCACTGCCAGTCGTCCACCTCCACCGGGCACGGAGCCTCGATGTAGTCCGCCAGCGCAGCGCGCACCGACGCAAAGGCTCGGCGGCCGTCCGCGGCCACAAGCGGCAAGGAGAGAATCGTGAAGGGCTCGGCGCCTGTAGCGTCTCGAGAAGCAGGGCAGTCAGGGCACGACAACCGCGGCCAGTCGATCCCGCGGCACAGGTCCGCGAGCTCCGGGCCATCGTTCTGCAACAGATTCAGCTGCAGGAACTCCTGCGCGTCCTCCTGCTCGCCGTTGTGCCAGTCCAGGAAGAGCTCGGGCTCGAGCGCCCCGCGGGCGCGCCAGGCTGCTATGGCCGTTCCCACCAGCTTGTTCCCCTGTCGCAGCAAGTCGAACAGGCCCTCCTCAGGCTCGTCGCCCAGAGCGCCCAGCGTCGCGGCAATCATCCGCTGCACTGGGGCCAGCGGGAAGAGGGCCTGCAGCAGGGAATTCATGTAGCACGAGTTCCCCACGTTGCGGAAACCGCAGGGGCGCCGACGCCCGAGCGCTCCGCCCAGGCCGCTCGAGGCGGCGCGCCCCGAGCCAGTCGCGGCCCCCGTCGCCGATCCCATCGCCTGCTTAGCGGCGCTTCCACCGGGCTGACACGTCAGCGGCGCCGCCGCGCTCTGTGCCCCCGCGCTGGCCCCGGCGAGCGCGTTGGCGCGCGCGCCGCCATCGGCGCCGGAACCCGCGGCCTCGCGGGCGACGCCGGACCCCGCGGCCTGGGCGCCGCTCGCGGCCTGCGCTTCCTCTTCTGCGCCGCTCGCGGCCTGCGCGAGGTCGGCGAGCCGCGGCCTCTTCAGCGCCGGCGGCGCGCGCGGGGGCGCCGCGGCGGGAGGGGCTCATCGCGGGGCCGCCGCGGCCTCCGCGCCGCTCGCGGCCGGCGCCAGGCTCGTGAGACGGGGCCGCTTGGGCGGCGGCGGCGGCGAGGGCGGCGTCTCTGCATCGGGGGCAGCAGAAGTGCGCTCCTCGGCCTCGAACTCATCGGCGCTGGCCGGTGCCTGCTGCAAAGCTGCAAGCCTGGCCCTCCGGCGCGGCGGCACCGCGGGCGCGGCCGGCGCAGCGGAGTCGGGAAGCTCCCCAGCATCCGTCTCCGCAGAGGCTTGCTGGGCGGCAGCCTGGGGCGTCTGCCCAGCGGCCGCCTTCTGCTGGGCCGCGGCAGCGGCAAGGCGCTTCCCCGTGATCCGCTGCCGGCGGTCGCCGCCCGCCATCCTCGACAAGACGCCAAGCGCTTCCTCCGGATCCAGGGGCGGCGGCGGCGGCGGAGCGCCCACCGGGCGCTTCCGCACGCGGATCATCCTCGCCACTGTGCAGGTCTCCCTCTTGTGGGTGGCGAGCGCGCGCTTCGTCCCGCATCCCTCGCCGCAGTACTCGCACGTGAACGCGCCCTTGTCCCCGCGCTCCTCTGCGGCACGCGCCTCCAGCAACTCCGCCTGCCGCTCGGCGAACGCCCCTGGTGGCGCGCTCGCGATCGCCTCCTCGAGCTCCTGCGCCGTCTGCGCTGGCGCGAAGCACGCTCTCCAGTACTTGTTCGGCCCGTTGCCCCGCTCCGCCTCGTAGCCCTGCTGCGGGCGGAGCTGCAGCAGCGCGTGGTCGACGCCAACCGCGGGGATGATGGCGCGCTCGTCGAACGCGGTGAGGTATAGGTCGGCCAGGCACTCGACCCGCGACAGGCCCACGTAAGCTTGGCACTGCTGGCGAACTGTCTCGTCGAGGCTCAAGGCGATGCCCTTTGTCTCCGTGCCGCCCTGCGCCTTGTGGATCGTGAGGCCCCAGCAGAGCACCAGGGGGAGCTGCCGGCGAAGGATTCGCTCGCCGTCCTCGTTCTGGAAAGCGCCCTGCACGGGGCTGATGAGCACGCCCGGAAGATCTGCGTCGCCTTCCTCCTCGCGGGACGCCTGCCCGCCGCGCTCGAACTCCACGCGCACCTTCAGCGCCTCGCCAGAGTCCCGCGCGAGCTTGATGCCCGTCACCATGCCGCGGGCGCCGTTGACGAGGCCGTCGCTGATGTCTAAATTCCGACGGAGCATGACCTTGGCCCCGATGGCGAACCGCGCGTCTGACTCGAGGCCGCCGGTGTCCTCGGGATTGTCGTAGCCCGTGTCGACCTCCACCGGGAGCCCCGTGCGGTGCGACGTGTCCTGCGCGGGCGCGGCGTGCACCTCGAAGCCGTGCGTCTCCGCGTGTCGCTCGAGCATCTCCTCGTTCACCTGACGGACAGCCTTCCGGGTCGCCAGTAGGTGCGGCGCGCGGCTGTCCGCGGGTGGCTTGCGCAGTCTGGTCCGAAGCGTCGCGAGGTCGGCCTCGGTGTGCAGGCCTTTCCGGACTCTCTCCAGCAGAGCGGCGTAAGCGGGGTCCCGCGCCGCTCGGTGATTCCCCTCGAGCTCACAGAGCAGGAACATCTTCCACAGCTGGACAGCCGCGTACGCGGGCTGGCCCTTCGGGGGAGGAAGCTGGTAGAGGTCCCCACAGAGGAGCAGGTGAAGGCCGCCGAATGGCACTCCCGGCTGGCGCTTGTAGATCTGCAGCCGCGCGTCGATCCGAGCGAGCATCTCCGAGGAGACCATGGAGATCTCGTCGATCACCAGCACGCGGACAGGCTTCCAGAACTCGATGAGGTGCTCCAGCGCGGGCCCGGAAGGGGGCGGCGCGTCCGAGGCGTGGCCGAAGGACTTGTTCTCAACTGGCAAGTGGAGGCAGGAGTGCAGGGTGCAGCCGTTGATCAGGAAGGCAGCGCACCCCGTCGGCGCCGCGAGCGCGACGCCGTGCCCCTCTGTCCGCAAGAGGCGCGCGACGGCGCGGACGACCACGGACTTCCCGCATCCGCCGGGACCGTGGAGAAGGACGCGCGCGGGGGCGCGATTGCCCTGGCGCACCTGCTCCAGGAACCAGTAGACGATGTCTTGCTGCTTGGACTTCTGCGCGTCGGGGCCGAAGAGCAACTGCGCGGCCTCGTCGCCGCCGGCCACTGGTCCGAAGGCGCTAATGGCGTGCGGCGCGGCGCCCGCCAGCTCCTCCAGATCTTCGCCTCGGTCCGGGTCGTCGGCCTCCTCGTCGGGGCGGCCAGCGGCAAGGCGGAGGCGGCGCAGCAGTTCCCGGTGGTTCTCCCAGTCCTCCGCAGCCCCTGGCGTCTGCATGGCGGACCGCATGACGAGGGCGCAATTGAGCCGCCTCAGCTCCCGCCACGCGGCCTCCGCGATGCTCAGCTTCGGGAAGACCGTGGACTTCAGGAAGAAGTCGGGCGCAGGGAGCTCCGCCTCTTCCTCGCGCGCCGGGGCGTTGTCTGGCGGTGCCTCCGCTTCGTCGCCGTGCTCTCCTTGATTGCTGGCCTTCGACAGGCGGACGAAAGCACTCTGGTGACTGCCGTCGTCCGAGGGCTCCAGCCACTCCGGCCCGTCGTCCTCGTCGAAATCGGCCCACGGGTTGTGCAGGAGGAGCTTGGAGTAATAGTACGCCTCCGTCTCGCGCTCGGGGTCGAAAGCCTTCGTGGACACGATTGCTGGCTGCGCTCTCAGCTTGGGGTCGGAATTGTACGACGTCGAGTAGGACGCCACGAAGTCGAACAGCGTCACTTCGCGAGGGCTCACCCACTCGTAGTTCTCGGCGGCCCTGCCTTCCACGAGAAGCGGAACCTGCTCCCCAGTGTCGTCGAAGACGGCGACCTTCCCCGCGCGCCACTCCGCATAACGGCGAATCACTGCGGGCGCCGTGGGCTCGGGCGCGTTCTCCGGGTTCGCGATGGCCTGGCGCCAGAGGTGCCGCGGCACGTAGGCCGAGTAAGACTCGGGCATGCCGGCATGGACCCACTGGAACTCCCGCGAGATGCGCACCACGGGAAGTCCGAGGAGGTGGTGGCACGCTTCGAACGTGGAGGTCACGCGGCCCTGAGTGCCGATGTAAGCGAGGCGGTACACTTGCTTGCTCGTCACAGGCCCGGTCGCCGGCACCCTCGCGATCTCCTGGTTGAGCTTGCCCACGGCGTCCTTCGCGGTGTCGCTCTTCAAGCAATAGCCCAGAATGTACCGAGCCACCGCGTGCAAGTTCTCGACGACCTGGAGGTCCATGGAACCGCGCCACCGGCGCAATATCCGGGGGTTGTACAGGCCCATCATCGTGTCGCCGCTGCGGCGCCGCACGAAGTACTTGTTCTTGGAGCCGTTGTTCCAGAGCTCTCGCTGACTCTTCTTTCGGCTCTTCTCCACCGGCTGCTGCGGGAACCCGAAGCGGCAGCGTCCGAGCGAGTACTTCCCGCAGTATGGTCCGTGCTTGTGCATCAGCGACTTCGTGAGCAGCGTCATCACCCCGTCACGATAGACTCCACGTCACCTCTTCGGCCCCGTCGTCCGCGCATAGACGTCGTAGATACTGGCGACGTTGTCCACCTTCGACGGGCCCAGGAGCTCGTCGTCCGTCTCCGAGGCCGCCCCGTCAAGCCAATCTGCCGCGGGGCGCTTTGGGGCTGCAGGCGGCTCGCCCTCTGCCTCTTCGCCGCCGCGCTCTGCCGCTTCGCCACCGCCGCGAGGTTCCGTGTGCGGCTGCGGCGGCGGCGGGGCTCCGCCGACTCCAGAGCCCGCGCGCGGTGGCGCGTAGTCGACGGGCTTGGCGAACAGCTGCAGCGCTCGCAGCTCCACGAGGAACGTCGGCGCGAAGGGGAGGGCGTCCTCGACGAGGCCGTAGGTCTCTCGGGCGGCGACCCACTCCTCCTCGGACGGCACCTCTCGGTTCACCGATGCGGATGTCCAGCCCACGATCTGGGCGCCAGAATCTACGGCGCGCGCCAGCCACTTCCGCTCCTCGCCGACGACGCCGACGGGGCGCGCGACGACGGTGGAGGAGCCAGACGCCAAGACGTCCATGTGCGCCGCGTCGATGTCCCAGATACAGTTGACCTTCACGCAGTCGGGAAGGTATCGGCGCGGCGGGGGCAACAGGAGAACCCTGTCCGTCGGCGGCCCTGCGTCCGTGGGGCGAAATACATGATCACCGCAGGCGCGCGCACCAGGGTCGGCGTACGGCACCGCCTCTGCCAGCTGCTGCACCATGCGCACGTGCACGAGGAACGTCTTCCTGTAGAGGCACGTCCGCCGGCTCATCCCGTGCTCCTTACTCTTCTGGCGCCACTCGTCCTGCGACATGACCTGCCGGGCGCCTGCCACGTGCGCCACCGCGACGATCTGGGCGCCCGCGTCCGCAGTGCACGCCAACCACTTGCGCCCTGCGTCCTTCAGCCCGCGCGGCCTCACGACCGCGCTGGCCTTCCCGGAGAGGAGCTGATCCAACTGCTCCTTGCTCACGCGCCAGATGGAGTCACCGGCCACGGGCGGGGCCGCGTCCGGGTGCGGCTGCGCGACCTCTTCCGCGGCGAGCCGAGCGTCGCGCTCGGCCCCCCAGTCGCCCACCCACAGCAGCATGTGCGCATGGGGGAATCCCCGCTTCTGCCATTCCACGCGGCTGACGAAGTCTTGCGCGACGAAGGGGGGCGCTTCGTCCAGGTTGCCGTCCCAGCAATCCCACTTGACGTCGCCCCGGAGCAGATCCATGTATCCGACATCCTCGGCGCCCGTGGGCGCTTCGCCACCGTCCGCCGCCTCCGTGCCGCGAAGCAGAGTCGGCTTTGGAAGCGGCGGGCAGCTCTCTCCCTTTGTCTTCCGCGCCTCGGTGATCCAGCTGAGAAATCTTTCCAACTGCCGGTTCCACTCGCGCTCGACGTCTGCAGGGAACTTCTGGCACAGTTGAAGAGCTGTCATCCCAGTTCGCCTGGTCTCCGAGCCGCTCTCGCACGCCGCGGCCGCGTCATTCGTGCCCTTGATCTTCTCGTCGCACTGCGGGCTGCCATCCCACTTGTGCTCTGGGTCGTTCGTGTACGCCAGCACCTGCGCGGCGACAGTCTTCTCCACACGATCAAGCGGCAGGCCGGGGCTGTCGTTGTAGAGCTGCGCCTTTACGCACGCTGCGAGCATGTGCGGCTGGCGCTCGTGGCTCGTGAGCGTGAGGAAGAAATCAGGGCGCCCGAGCTGGCGCATCATCTGGACGCAATGGGTGCGCTTCTGGCCCAGGAACGCGGTCGTGCCGGGCACTTTACCTTGCACGGCGTATGCTCTGCACTCCGCCGCTTCCCGACCGGGCACCTCGCGCTTCCCCACGAACACGGACGTCGCGCTGCTCAAGCTCTTCCGGAACCACGTCTCGAGCTGGTAGAAGGTGTAATCCGGATTCTCCTGGAACTTGGTCTTGCAGCAGTCCAGCAGGCGGCGCCACGCGTAGCTGCTGAAGCGGAGCTCTTCGGGGCAGGAGCCCTCGCCCCCCGGGAACAGCGTCGGGAACGCCAGCGCCTCCGTCACCGGGCGAATCTCCGCCGACTCCCGGTTCTTCTGGAGGTCTCCCACAACGGCGCCGACCGGAGCGGGCCCGCCCGCGGTGAAGTACGTTGCGTCTCCTTCGAAAGCGCCCTGCGCCGCCGCCTCGGCCTCCGGGTCGATCGCTTGGCGATCGTCAGCAAGCTTCTCAGCGAGCTTCGTCTCGAGGGCCTTGATGGCTGCCGTTGCCTGGCCCAGCACGGAGAAGTCGCGATAGTATGCGTTATTCTTCGCGAGCCACTTCAGCGCGTCGAGGAGCTTCTGAGCGCGCACGGGGACTGCCCAGCCGGGCGGGACGCCCCGCGGCCGGAGCCAGAGCACGCCGTCGGTGATCTCCATGCTGGCGCCGCCGAGCACCTCGCAGGCGCGCGGCGCTTCCAGCGGCGCCACGAAGGTCCCGCCCTTCGCCGTCGCCGTGCCGCCCTTGGGCGCGTGCACCATGACCACGTTCGTCTCCACCAGCTGGAGCAATCGCTCCTCGTGGCGAGTGAGTCCTCGAAGCGGCTCCGGCGTGTTCCCCGTGTCGATGGCATCCCGCGAGACGCGCGCCCCGCGATCCTCCGCCCGCACGCAGTAATCGCAGATGTGCGGGGTAATCTCGGAGGCGTCCTCGCGCAAGGTCTGTGCGATGAGGTCTGACGGGCACTCGCGCTTGCAATGGTGCTTGGAGACCTTGACGCCGCAGGCGAAGCACACGACGCTGGGGCTATCCAGCGAGAGCTCCTTTGCCCACCGCAGCCAACTCTTCTCGTACTGGACGCTCGGGTCGCCCGAACGGTCCGCCGCCTCTTCCTCAAGGACGAGGCCACTCGTCCGGTGTTGGCGCGGGTCGGCCCCGGCCGCCGCGAGCAGCGCCCGGTACTTGCGAATTTGAATCCCGAAGCACGCGCAAACGTTTCCCCGGCTGAATAAGTACTCCATCGTCGAAGCTCTCTCACTCAGCATCTCCCGCACCAGCGCCTTCTGCTCCTCCGTGAGCACGCACTCGACCGCCCCGTCGGCGCCTGGCTTGAAGGTCAACCGCCCTGTGTGCGGCGCCGCGCGCGCGGCAAACTCGGCGCGCCGAGCATCGTCCTGAGTGACGCTCTGCGGCTTATCCTTCTGCTTCTCGAGGAACTCTTGCATCGCGACCTTGAGCCTTTGCGGCCGCGGCCCTCGGGCTCGCGTGGCCGCGCCCATGTCCCGGACCTTGGCTGCGAACTCACCGTAGCGCGTCTTATCCTTGCCTATGCAGCGCATGATGCCTCCCCTGTCTAGCATCGGCTCCCCGTCGTCCGTCTGTGCGTCGTAGAGCTGATAAAACTCTGCGAACTCATCTTCAGTGCACTTCGCGCCCTCCACCTTTTCCACCAGATGAATGGCCAGACTGCCGCGCTCGGAGTGATATCTGTTGCGCACGTCGCCCTTGTGGATCTCCCGAGAATCGTCTGCGACCTCGTCTGCGCCGAAATCGGCGCGGGCCCTTCCGCGGGCGAGCGCCTCTTCAAAGTAACCCTCAACGATCTCCTTCTGGTGGTCGACAGGTATCCTGCGCGATGCCAAGTCGAAGATGTCCGGGTCGGCCTCGAAGAACTTCGCGAGCTGCGACCTAGGATGACAGCGATCGCGCGGAAGCAAGCGATTGATGATCGGTCGAACCCGATCGGTCGCCGATGCGATGGGGCGCACGTACCCAGATCAATCGGCCCCCAACCCCGCCACGATCGATCGCGCAGATGCGTCTCGGGGATCGCTCGAACAAGAAACGCTCACCGGAGCAAATCGGAAACACTGGCGATCGTTGGAGCCAGCGTCTACTGCAGACCCTAAGAGCTTGCGCTGACGCTCCCCCGCCGCGCACTGGGCCTGCATGCCGTCCGCGCTGCACCACGTGCACTGGTTGGAGAATTTCGCCAGCGCTGCCTGACCGGGCCGGGTCTGGTGGAACCGACATTGCACTCTGGCACCATGCTCCGCGCGCCCTTCACAGATGGGCGGCCCCATGGGTCAGATGTAGGATATCTCGAAGCAGTCTCGCAGACCGCGCCAAGGTTTGCTTGGGCCGAGAATCTACGGAGAGAGGCCGAGGAACGAGGCTTGGAGTCTTGCCGGCCTCGTTGATCTCAGATTGCTACAACGACTTGGACATCCCTCGCTGGTACGTGCGCCCGATCGCATCGCCGGAGCTCTCTCGGCACCGCCTGGGGCCATATCGCGGGCCCGCTTGCTTCCAGGGACCGTCTGGGGAACCGGCATCTCTGCAGAACGCTGTTTTTTTTCCATCGCAGTTGAAGCTGGAGAGATCGGCTGGCGCGGGCACCTAACGCTGCCCTGCGAAATTCCGACACGCGGGGCAGGCGTTAGCAGAGCGCGAGTGGTGAATGTGTTACCACGCCGTACCTCGCAAAGTGCCGCCGGCAAGAGGAAGGCGCTGCCGGGCTCGGCGCGCGCCGAATGCCGGCGCTGTCTGCATGCGCGCGCTCAAGCGCGCGGGCCGCTCACGCCTCCAGGTCGTCCTTCTCCTTGTCGCTCTCCTTGCCCAGCTCCCCCTGCTGCTCGGCGGTCTCCTCGACGTTCTCCTGCCTGGCGATCTCCTTCACGAGCACGTGTGGCACTGCGCGGAGCATCGCGAGGAAGTCCCTGGCAGCGGCGTATACGTCTTCATCAGAAGCTTTCTCACCCACTTCGGGGATGCTCTCGGCCAGCACGATCGTAGGGAAATTAATGAAGCCGCTCGTCACGAGGTCGATGATCTTCTGGCGATCCGCCTGGTTGGCGATCCTTCGGATGCTCCAGAGGGCACCAGGCGCCGCGCCGGGCGTAGCCCGCGGCCGCAGCGGGCGCGGGGGCGAGGCCGAAAGCGCCGTCTGTGGCGTCTTCAAGGACAGCTCGGAGATAGCGCCAGGAGAGCGCCAGGCCCCACGCAGGGCGTGGCCCGCGAACGCAGCCCATGACCCTGCGCCGCCTTGAAGAAGACGTTCATTCACACCTGAGAACAGCCAAGATATGCCTGTACCCTGCAGGACCCTCGCGGCAGAGGGCCCCGGACACTCTGACTGGGTCACGGTACTATCATTCCCGCTCCCTGTATACGTGGTGCGCGTCGCGCAGTTCTCGACGGCCAGAGTGCCACGGCAGGGCACAAGCCGTGCTACACGGGTGTCGCTTCATCCCCCAGGAAACCCGTTCCCAAATGAGACCGACACACCCACGCAGAAACCCTTACCAACCGCACGCTCAAACTGGAATCGGCGACACCCCTATAGCACGATTTCGTCGAGAAGGACCTCCGCGAATGCTCGACCGACCAGCGCCCAACGCAGAAGGCCCGAATAGGCCTCCTGTGCACGAGCGCCAGACGGGTTCATTCGCAGAGATGCCCACGTCTTACACCCGCAATGGACTTGCGCCCAAAGCGAGTGAGTCCTCGCGAACTCGGAGTCCATGAGGCACCTGCGCGCAGGAGAATAGCAGGGAGGATGGAAGCGCAAACACAGAAGAAAGAAGCCGCAGGAAGGATAATAGGAGGTAACAAAAGACATGCAGAGATGGCCAAGAAGCAGAAGGCCGCGGCCCCAGCCCCGACGCGGCCAGGATCGCGCTCCCTGGCAGAATTCCTGCCCCCGGTATATGACTAAAGCGCCGACGTTGCGAAGCGCGCGAAGCGCCCGCCCAGCCTTGCCCCCCCTGCAACCCCGAGGCCAGCTCTCCCCCCACCGGCCGGCCGGCGGCCCTGGCCGGCTGCCGCCGCACACGAGCACAGGTAAGTTTAGCACCTGGTCGCACCGACACTTCCGAACGAAGTCTCTCCTGAAGGAACCCCTGTCCGGACCCATCCACGTGCATCGCGACGCGCGCCACGCGCCGACCGGCCCTCCCCCCCACCCCGGCGAGCGGGTCGCGGCCCCGACCCCAGCCGCCGCGGCTTTCCCAGGCTCTCAGCCCCGCCCGGCCGGAGCGCGCCCCCTAGCCGAATCCTTGTCCTCGGCGTAATACTGAAGCGCCAGTGTCGCGAAGCGCGCCGAGCACCAGCAGGTTCCCTGGCCCGCCCGGCCAGCCGTCCGTGGCGCCGGCCAGAGCCGAATGCGCCACCCCGCGGCCCCAGCCCCGACGCGGCTGGCCAACGCGCCCCCTGGCCGAATTCCTGTCCCCGGTATATGACTAAAGCGCGGATGTCGCGAAGCGCCCGCCCGACCCTTGCCCCGTGGCGGCAGCCGACTCCGAGGCCAGCCCCACCCCTCCCAGCCGACCAGCGGCCCCGGTTTGCTGCCGCCGCGCACAAACACAGGTAAGTTTAGCACCTGGTCGCACCGACACTTCCTAACGAAGTCTCTCCTCGAAGATTCTCTGTCCAGAAACCCGCAACGAGTGTCGCGACGCGCGCCGCGCGCCGACCGGCTCCTGCCTCTCCCGGCCAGCCGGTCGCGGCGCCGGCCCCGGCCGCCGCGGCTTCCCTACGCTCCCAGCCCCGCCCGGCCGGAAGCGCGCCCCCTGGCCGAATCCTTGTCCCCGGTATATGACCACAGCGCCAGTGTCGCGAAGCGCGCCGAGCACCAGCAGGCCCCTGGCCCGCCCGGCCAGCCGTCCGTGGTGCCGGCCAGAGCCGAATGCGCCACCCCGCGGCCCCAGCCCCGACGCGGCTGGCCAACGCGCCCCCTGGCCGAATTCCTGTCCCCTGTATATGACTAAAGCGCGGATGTCGCGAAGCGCGCGAGGCGCCCGCCCGACCCTTGCCCCGTGGCGACAGCCGACCCCGAGGCCAGCCCCACCCCCTCCCAGCCGACCGGCGGCCCCGGTTTGCTGCCGCCGCGCACAAACACAGGTAAGTTTAGCACCTGGTCGCACCGGCACTTCCTAACGAAGTCTCTCCTCAAAGATTCTCTGTCCAGAAACCCGCAACGAGTGTCGCGACGCGCGCCACGCGCCGACCGGCTCCTGCCCCTCCCGGCCAGCCGGTCGCGGCGCCGGCCCCAGCCGCCGCGGCTTCCCTACGCTCCCAGCCCCGCCCGGCCGGAGGCGCGCCCCCTGGCCGAATCCTTGTCCCCGGTATATGACTACAGCGCCAGTGTCGCGAAGCGCGCCGAGAGCCGGCCAGACCCTGGCCCGCCCGGCCAGCCGTCCGAGGTCGTCGCCCGAGCCGCCAGCGCCATCCCGCGGCCCCAATCCCGACGCGGCCGGCAACGCGCCCGCTGGCAGAATTCCTGTCCCCGGTATATGACTGAAGCGCCGATGTCGCGAAGCGCGCGAAGCGCCCGCTCGGCCCTTGCCGCCCCCTGGCAGCCGACTCCGAGGCCAGCCCCCCCCTACCTGCAGACCGGCGACCCCGGCTTGCTGCCGCGGCGCACAAACACATAAGTTTAGCACCTGGTCGCACCGACACTTCCTAACGAAGTCTCTCCTAAAAGTTTCTTCATCCAGAAACCCGCAACGAGTGTCGCGACGCGCGCCGCGCGCCGACCGGCCCCTGCCCCCCCCCCGGCCAGCCGGTCGCGGCGCCGGCGCAGGGGCCGGCGCTCGAGCCTGGTCCGGAGCGGCCGAGTCGGGAAAGTCGGGGGGTCGAGCCGGCGTTCCCAGGCGCACCCAAGCGCTCCCGGCACGCTCCCAGGCGCTCGCAGGCGCTCCCGGCACGCTCCCAAGCGCTTTCGAAGCTCCCAAGCGCTCCGAAGCGCTCCCAGGCAAGGGCTCCCAGGTGCTCCCGAACGCTTCCGGCACGGTCCCAAGCGTTCCCAAGCGCTCCCAGGCGTCCCGGGCGCTCCCGGCACGCTCCCGGGCGCTCCCGGCACGCTCCCGGCACGCTCCCGGCGCGCTCCCAAGCGCTCCCAGGCGCTCCCAGGCCCGGCGCTCCCAAGTGCTCCCAGGCGCTCCCAGGAGCGCGCGCATCGCGCTTCGCAGCTGGCGGGAATGCCGCAGTCGCTGCATTTCGCGCCCGCGTCGCGACGTGCCTAGAAGCGCGCGCAGCGCGCTCCGCAGCAGGCGCGGCGCCTGCGATCGGGCACGCGCGAAAGGCGCGCAATAAGCGCTTCTGGGACGTCTGGGAAACAGCCGCAGCGCGGGAGGGAGCGCGATCTTCGAGCGGGCACGCACGGAAGCGCTCTCGGAACAGCGCAGGCAGACAGACGCCGCGCGGGAGGGAGCGCGATCTTCGAGCGGGCACGCACGGAAGCGCTCTCGGCGATAGCGCAGGCCAATTGGAACCGCTACGAGGTCCGCAGACGCTAATACGTTGTGTAAACCCTCAACCCTCAACCCTCAACCCTACACCCTACACCCTACACCCTCAACCCTCAACCCTAAGCCCTAAGCCCTAAGCCCTAAGCCCTAAGCCCTAAGCCCTAAGCCCTAACCCTAACCCTAAACCCTAAACCTCGCTCGCCTCGCGCGCAGACTGTTGGACGCAGAGGCCGCCCCCGACGGCCCCTGCGTCCAACAGTCCGCGCGCTCGGCTCGCTCGCCCCGGACCCCTCCGGAAAGGGGGGGAGGGGGGCGGGGGGGTCCGACCCCCCCCCCTCCCCCTTCAAGGGGGGGGGGGGGGGAGGGGTTCCGACCCCCCCCCCCCCCCCCCCCCCCCTCCCCCTTTCAAAGGGGGAAGGGGGGGGGGGCTTTCTCGGACCCCCCCCCCCCCTTCCCCCTGAAGGGAGGGGGGGGGGGGGGGTCCCTGGAGCGCACCCCCCCCTTTGTGTCTTCAAGGGGATCCACTGGAGCACCTTCCTAAAAAGAACCGCGGGGGGATGGGGGAACCAGGGTAGCGGCCGCGATCTCGGAGTCCATGATGATGCGTTCCGACATGAATTCGGCGATTCGCTGGTCCTGCTCGGCCACGAACGTCCGCGGGCTGGTGTTGCGCATGATCACCTTGACCTCGCCGCGGTAGTCGGGGTCCACCATTCCGCCCGCGACGTCGGTGCCCGTGCGGTCTAGTCCTGAGCGCGGGGCAATTCGCAGGTAGGTGCCCGGATGCGCATGCGCGGCCACGCCCGTAGACAGCGACCGCAAATCCACAGGTCGCGATATCGACGCTCGCGCAAGCGAATCGGTCGTAGCCCGCGGCCTGAGGCACGCCCTGCACAGGTGCTTGCGCGTTGGGGCTCAGGTGCTGTATGTTGAGCTTCTTGAACTCGCGGCCATCGTTGGTGTCGTTATCCTGGCGGTTGTTGCCCACTGCTGGTAGCGTGAGCGATTTAAGTGGTAGCCCACCTGGTCGGTGGTTGGACTTGATCAAAATTGTCGACTGGAATGCCTCGGTGGCCACTTGGGGCTGACTCTAAGTCGAAAAGCATGGCGCCTGGGCTCCAATTCATTTCGCGGCCCCCGAGGCCTGGAAACGCGAGGCGTTTATGTGATGTCTCCACAATCCCGTCGATGGACCGCGTGGAACGCAGGCCAACAAAGGCAGGGAGATCGAGGCCGCCGCCCTCCACGGCAGGTGCACGCATGCTGCGTTGGGCGGTCGCGCCATCGCTGGTGGTAGCCCCGCTGGGGCAGCGCGCCTAATGGGCAACCTGTGAGCCGCAAAATCCACCGTTTCAGGTTCTGGTTTCACCGTTCCGGGAAATTCTGGATGCTTGACACTCGCTGTTTGAAATTCCGGAATCACCCTGGAACCGTTCGGGGGCGAGAACCCATTTGGGGCCTCTTCGGGAAATTTCCCCAGCGAAGCTTTTTAAGGCTTCTTGCAAAAGGCCTTTTTGAGCTCCTTACGGAAGGCCTCATTGAGCTCCTTGCGAATGCCATATTGACCTCCTCGCAGAAGGCCTTATTCAACTCCTTGCAGAAGGCCTTGTTGAGCTTTTCGCAGAAGGCCAAGGCCCGATTGGCTTTCTAACGCAAGGAAAGCCTGAGGGCGCTCCGAAGCGGCGAGGGCGCCCAGCCGCGAGAAACAAGCTCCCGAATGAGAAATCCCTTTTGGGAATCACAGTTTCTGGGGCTCGGGCCCCCCCCCCGATCCCCGAGAGCGCCGTTTTGCAATGGGCCCCAGCCGCCAGAAAAATGCTCACCGATAAAACATTTCATTTGGAAAATTATCATTTGGGAGCCTCGGGTGCGCCCCCATCTCCGAGAGCGCCGTTTCGCGCTGGCGGAGATCCTGAATTGATTTTCGCCCTGGAATGGTTCGGGAAAGAAAATCAATCTGGGGCCCGCTCCAGTCCGTTTCCGAGCTGCAGTGATCATATTCCAAATGAAATCTCCTATAGGGAATATTTCTCTCGCGGCTGGGCCCCCCCGCCCAGCGCCGGGAGCGCCCGGGTGGATTTTCGCCCCGGAATCGCTCCGATGTGAAAATCCACACGGGACCTTCCCCAACGGAAAACGGCGCTCTCGTGGATGGGAAGGGGGCATGCCTGAGCCGCACAATGACGATCTTCAAAATGAAATCTCTTGTTGGGGGATATCTTTCTCGCGGCTGGGCCCTCCCGTCCAAGGTGGATTTTCAATCTAGAACCGCTTC